CCACGCCGCATGGGTGAAATGCGAACACGGTGCACGCCCTGATAGAACAGCAATACAGGTGACACATATAGACTGAAATCTGTTGCTCTGAAAAACCACAAAATGTTTTACATTTAAATTTCCAGGAAAACTGGACAAGGTTTGTAATACCAGATCATGTCACAGATGAAAGGAAACCAGAAACGATAATGGGAATCGATGTCAGGGCCCAAAAACTGGACTGTATCCAATTCAATTCAATTCAATTCAATTTTATTTATATAGCGCTTTTAACAACAGTCATTGTCACAAAGCACTTTACATTTAACCGGCCAGAACCCCACCAAGCAAGCCTGAGGCGACTGTATCATTTACTGTATAGATATTTTAGAACATTCGGCACTGACATTAACAGAAGATCTTCTATCAGATCTATCTACCTATCTATCTATCTAATATGGCTATCACTCCGAAACACAATGAAAACTTATGGATGTGCATTCAGAAGGAAAAGCCATGGCGCAAGATGGATGGACACGGCGAGCAGAGATGGGCCAAGCAGACCTGCATCCCATCAAGGTGAGAGGGGCTGTCACTCTGCAGCTCCCGTGACGCCGCGAGCCCACCTCCCTACACTCTCTTTATGACAGCTCACATCCTGTCAGGGCTCCATCTCCATCGCTCTGAGGGAGACGCCCTTGTAATATTTTACTGAGGCTTAAATCAAGCCCGTAGGCCTTGTACTTCTGCAAAACGCCGATGCATTTCATCAGAGAAGACATGCGTATCAATTTCACTCCGCTGGTCCCCCTCTCCGTGATTGTCACTCTCCGGCAAACATCCAAAAAAAGAAAACATGACGAATGAATAACTGACAGAATTTTATGCAGTCAGAATCATTGTTCGTACAGTAGTTTCGAGAAACAGAGGCTGGTAAGGATTGGTAACTGCCCACAGTTTCCGATCTTAAATCCTGTGAATACAGCTTGAATGAATGAGGCATTTATATTTATTTAGCAGGTGTTTTTTTTCTTTTTTCCAAAGCAATGTACAAGTGAGGATCACAGAACAGGGTCAGAAAATGGAACTGGATGCTGTGACCTTCCAATCACAGGCACAGAGGTCAAACCCACAGAACCACACACCTCTGAGTCCCTGAAGTTCATACCTATTTGTTTGAACGTGTCATTCAGTCCAAAGAGTGGTCATGCATTCTCAGACCCTTTTAATGTAGGCATCATGTGACATTTACCCCCCCCCCCTTGCTGGGAGGTGCAAAGACAGCAGAGGCATCTTGGGATGGGGGCGACACGGAAGTGCTTGGGGTTCTGACCGGTGCCCGGCGGGACAGCGAGACAGACCGGGGCTGCACTGCTGGTGACAGATGGCCGGAGGCTCATGGAGCAATAATCCCTCTGGTCTAAAGGACAGTAACACACAGAGGTGGATCCAGAAAGTAAAAAGTAAAAATCCAGACCCAGATTTTATTTCAACCAACCAGTGATGCATAAAGAGTAACATTCATAGAGTACTCAATTGGTTGGTTGAAACAAAATCCTGGTGCGGATTTTTACTTTCTGGACCTGAAAGGTCCAGCTCTGGTAATGGAGACAATCAGTGGCTCTGCTATAGGAGGAAGATGCTGCCTGGTGCTGCCATAACAGCCAGCAGCAGAAACTATAGCTCATGCAGAGTAGAACTTACAACAAAATTGCTTGTGCTTAATCTACACGACAAGCAGCCCATTCACAAACCAGGCATAACCCACCTTTGTGTATAAGATGATTTCAGAAGTTCAGTAAACCACTAATAAACCCAAGGACCGCCTATTATATTAGATATCCTAGGTCAGAGCCGGGGGCAGACTGGTAGGCAGGGCAATCAGGGCAGCTGCCCCAGGGCCCCCCCACCAACGTTGATGGCCCCTCTGCCAACTACAAATCTCATATATATGCGAAATCTTTGTGAGGATTATGCTGCTGATGCCATGCATATTATATGGATTCATGACATGCTACTTTTATATCTCATTTTTATGTATACAAACTCCTTATGGTGGGAGTCAACACTAAAAATATTTGTCACGGTACTTAAAACAAGTTTGAAACAACGTAATAATCTGTAATGTTTTAAGTCAGACTATGTTTTCAGGGTGTGTATTTAACGAAAAAAAGCATGTTTGTGGAATTTGCTGACTACTGCAGTGCATGATGGGTATGATATGATATTTGAAGGCTACTTAAATTTCATCATCTGCAACTGCTGCAACTGGCATTGGCAGGGCCTAGGTGTGAATTTGGAAAGGGGGGGCTGGATGGTCCATTTTTGACCCAGGGCGCAATGTACAGCTGTTCCACCACTGCTTACAGCCTACACTGGACACATCCCATTGATTGTTGACGTCCTGCTCTGGAGGCTGGAAGGCTTCCTGTACCTGGAGAGCGTCCACTACTTCTGCAGGAGAACCACAGTTCTACGGTAATCAGAGCCAGAACAACACCCTGCCAGCCCGTCCAGCCTATTAAAATTCTCCAAATGAGTAAAAGAGCACATCACCTTAACGGCTCTGCAGCTTGTTTACTAGCGGGCAGAACGGCGGTCTGACCGCTGTCGGGGGAAGTGATTCCGCTGGAAAACACGGCGGAACCAAGCTTTGAAATCCCCATCAGCCCCCTGATGCCGGCATCCTGGTGACTCTGGCTTCTCCACACTTTCATCATACCACTGCTCTGCTCTCTATTTTCCGAACATCAAAGTGCAGTTGGTGCATGAAGCAGAAATAATGATTTAAAAAAAAAAAAAAAAAAAAAAAACGCTACGACTATTGCACACATCTGAAATTATTTAACAGTAGAGAACCGCCAAGCATTTCAGAAAGAAATTGTGAGCAAATGTAAATGATGTTTATTAAGACAGCTCGTGCGAATGGGAGATGGACGTCATGCGAGCGGTCAAGGGCACGGGGGTTGAGTCTATGCCAAAGCAAACTCGTTCGCTGGTCCGTTAATGGAAGCCACACCGGCAGGACTGCAGAGGACGCGGCTCACCTCTGACTGAGCGCTTAGACGAAATACCGGTGACACCTAATGAGCTCCTGAAGGAGCGACGTGAAGGAGGGAAAAAGTGCCTTAATGCCTCGAGAAAGGCCCGACGCTACAAGGGCGACAGATGGAGCGGGAAATGCCAGTCTCTCTCCACCCGGAGCCCCTTCCAAAAACATGGAGACATCCACTGCCCTCCTTCTTTGGGTATGGGGGGTCACTGGATGGGGACACTGGATGGGGACACTGGAAGCACGGAACCTCCCCTGAGGCGGCTGCTACTACTGCCTGCACAGAAAACCGATCGCATCACTGATTTACCCGCACGTCGACCTGCCATCCTCCCCTGTAAACCCGCGCTTCTAATGCTTTAACATGTTACAACACGGTGGTTATAATGGCTGTGAAACACAGTCTATCCGACGCTGGCGTATCCAATTCAGAATAACTCAAAATGCCAAAAGGACGCTACGGTAGAATGCGGTCAACGTGCCGAAAAAAATGAAGGAAGAGAATCATCGCTTAATAGATTTCACTGAATCGGGCGCAGGTGAAAGGCTTCCTTTTTATGTATGTCCCTGAAATAGACACTGCTTTCATTTTCAGGGGAAAAAAATGAAACATTAAAGACTTAATTAGCATATCAGGCTGTGCCACTATACGCTGAGGATGCATTCGGATAACAGCATCCAGGGCGCAGTCACTACTGCGACCACCACGCGCTCAATTAGGACTCATCTGAAAACCCGCCGCTTCCCGAACAGCTCCTGCTTATTACAGGTATTGATCTGGAAATCAGCGTAATTAGCAGCAGGCGGGGCTGTCTCGCAGAGTGACTGCGCACACAGCAGCCGTCGCAGCACAGTTATCCATGTCGGCCTTTAAAGTCTCGCTTTTATGACTGTGTTTTGACTCTGGAGCAGCGGCGCGTTCGTTAGCGTCTCCTGACTGACAGTCGCAGTCACACCGAAGAGTGCGCACATTTTCGTATAACGAGACGCTGACAAACACAAGCCCGGCTATCACAGAACACCTAATCTCTCCTGTCAGGCATCACAAGGACAGCACTTGCAGACAAAATACGACATTATTTTACTGCGCATTTATTAGCTACCTAAGTAGCTTCAATATAAAAGCCAGAGTTGTACCACCATTTTCTTTTTTACAACTATATATACATACATTTAAAAACAAATACACCAATCACCTGCACGTTTTAAAATCTTTGCTGTGTTAAGTAATGTTGACTGGATATCACAGCCGTAACACATGGTTTCTGATATTTAAACCAAAACTAAACATGAATTACAGATTTTAAAAATTCAGTCCTAAAATAAGTTGGGCTCCTATTCATGTCCTATATATTCCTATATATGTCAAGGCTTTATAAAAATATGTAAATATTCAATGTATGAATATATACAATAATGTGAACATTTAGTAGGCAGCTAGAACCTGATGGGATACAGAAAGGAATCAGTCTTTGTTAAAACCTCCCATGCAGCAAGTTCACGGTTACAGACCCCACACACTTCTGGGTCTCATTTCCCCTGCGAAAACAACCAAAGCAGCCAAAGTAGCGTAATTGCCGTGAGGAAATCTCTGGACCACTGGCATGGGGGACTGGACCCAGGCTGAAATACATGGAGGCCAGTAAGTGGGAACCGAGCAAGAGAACATTACAGTATCAGTTACAGGCGTCACATGTACTGTAAGGCACCTACCTTGAAGGGGAACCTCAGCACAGTGAGAAGCACCGAAAGTCAATGTCGACTCAACATCCTTAACATGATCTAACTTAAATAAAAAGGTTGCCCGCTGTGCAGAGGACTTAAACATTTCAAAACAAGCCATGCTGTGGAGAAACAAGAAAATCTGTGGCCAACCTCAAAAGTCTACGAACCCAGGAGCCTTGGCAGACATCAACAACATCAGAAACAGCACAAAGAAAAATAAGTGGTGAAAACCTGGCGCATTTACCCAAAAGACGCCGACCTCCACTTTCGACAGGGGTAACTTCTTCCGCACAGTGGGGAAATGAGGTCGTCTGGGCAGCCTGTGACCCCGACCGGCAAAGAAGCGTGTCGCCTTCAGACAGAGGGAGAGAGAGGGAGAGAGAGGGAGAGAGAGAGACATTCAGCTGCAGCGCGGCACAGACGCGGTGAGCGGCTGCGAGGCCGCGATCCCGGCGAGTGGCCCCCGCGCAGATGGGAGGCTCGATGTGGCACGCGCCGGGGAACAGGCATCTATTTCAGGCGCGCTACGCTAATTAGCACGATAAAGCAATACGCTCGGGTGCTCAGACAAATTACTTTCTGTCCTCCTCGTTATTCAATTATACATAATGAGCTGCCGCTGGCCCCCGCTGACGAAAAGGCGGGAACTGCTGATAAAAATTACAGGGTAAACAAGTGTCGAAACCTTCGGGGCTGCGTGGCCATCTCAGCGGGCCGCATTTTCGGGAAAGGGCCTTCATGATGCATGCGTCCGCTTGCCAAACCTGCCTAAAAAGCGTGGTTACTGTCACTCCTCTGCAGAGTGGCAGGGCGCAGGGGGAAGTCGGGCGACAATGGAGAGGACCCACGGCAACGAGACGCAGGATGGGCTGGGCGCCAGCCAGGGCGAGGCGGATCAGGGGACTGCTGTAAGAAGGCCGCTAACAAGGACAGGATGAAGCCCAGGTGAGTGCCGAATCAACTGAGAATCGATGATGACAGTTGGGCAGGTTTAATATAGGGGGACCTCGGTCAGCTGATGTTCATTAGCCAATCAGGGCACTGCGTAAACAAACGAGAGTGGAAAGAGGTCACGGGTCACATGGGGCTCCCGATCAGGTGCAATCGTCCTGCCTCCCGTGTAATATATATGTGTGTGTGTGACTAACGTACATGTACATAGGGTCAGTTTTGGTTGCCGACGATCCCCACGGCTCCCCCTGCAGGTGGTGGGCCCACGGGGGGGCAAACCCATGTTACCCCTTTGGGTTTTGCCTGGCCAGGCCCCATGGGTGGATACAAGCGGCTGAAATGAGTGGATGGCTCCGCAGAGTGGATGGCTCAGCCTTAGAGACATGGTTGAGGGGTTCGGACATTGGGGAGGGACTCAAAGTAGAGCATAGTCCAGGCATCTATCTGGGATGCCCCCTGGACGGCCCCCTGGGGAGGTGTTTCAGGCGTGTCCAACCGGGGGGAGATCCTGGGGCAGACCCAGCACACACTGGAGAGATTTTCTCTCTCGGCTGCCCGGGGAAACGCCTTGTTATTCCCCCAGTGGACCTAGAGGAGGTGGCTGGTGAGAGGGAGGTTTGACCATCCCTGCTAAGACTGCTGCCCCCACGACCCGACCCCGAATAAGCAGTGCAAAATGGATGGATGGATGGATGGATGGACAGACATATATATACATATATATCTGATTTATTTATTTCATTCAGCTTGATTTCTTTTACTGCTGCTTTTAAAGATTTTGCTGTTCCAGTCTGCCTGGTGGTATCTCTCAGTTGCCAACGGTGTGCAAATGTGTGATTGTGAGTTTGATGGAGAAGCTTCCTGTCCAGGGTGGCCCCCAGCCTTGTGCTCTGATGAGGCACCAGTCCCCCCCCCCTCTTCAAGAAGTAAATAAAAATGAAATTTTTTATGTTTGATGCATTATGTAAGGTATTCTGTGTCAAATTCAACTGGTATGGAAGCAACTCTGTAATGCAACAGCTTTGTGTATGAACAATTAGAATAATTATCCTTTTGAAGAGCTACTGAGTCTATTCAGACTGACAATCCTCACACACTGACATAAATGCTGAATGTCTTCATCGCAAGGAGCTAACAAACACAACACAGCGTTTTAACACCAGATACGAGTTCTGCTGTGCCAACAGTTGAACTGGCTTCTTATCTGGGGGTAAAATATAATAATAATTAATTGATACATTAATGATCCCCTTGGGGAAATTGTCTTTACACCTCCCTCAACTTGCTCTTGGTAGAGTAAGCTGTCTGTGAAGGGCAGCCTCCTGTTGGGGCGCCCAGGGAGCTGGGGGTTAAGGGCCTTGCTCAAGGACCCGCAGACGTGCTGAGGCTGGGTTTGAACCGGCGACCTTGTGATTACAGGGACACAGGCTTAGCCCACTGAGCCACACGCTGCCCCCTAATGGTGATATTCTTGGTGCTTACATTCCTTAAAACTATCAAAAAACAAAAATTCTCTACAGGTCATACAGTACATCCTGTTGCTGTGATTACTTGGGATCCCATTTTGGGTTTATGTAAAGTAACTGCCCACTGTTTTGATAGGTAGGACCACTGGGTCGTGTGTCTGGAGATTTGAATCAAGCTTCCTGTTGGGAAGAGAAAGCAAATGCTGGCCTGTCAGAGAGCCTGCGGGCTGCGGTGTTGGGAGGAAGCCGGAAAACATCAGGGAAAAGCGGCTTGTTTTCTGCAGCGGACGTGTGACCCAGGGGGGTGAAAGCCGGAATAGCGTGAAGGCGGCAGCGGGATCCCAAAGTGGTCGGAGCGTTGGTCTCAGGCAGAATGCCACAGCTAGCAAAGTTACCCTGAGAGCAGGGAGGGCCTTTAAACAAAAGAACAGGCATCACAGCGGGCAGCCAAACAGGCATCACAGCGGGCAGCTAAACAGGCATCACAGCGGGCAGCTAAACAGGCATCACAGCAGTCGACCGCAGGCCCTGCCACGTAGCATTTTTGAACCTCTGTTTTGTCATGGTTTCCTGTACCAATCAGCAGCACTGTGACTCTCTCTGGTTTCTGGCTTCAGTTACATTCTCCACCAGGCAGGCTACTGTCCATCTTTAACAGCTGCTGTAAAAACCACGTTTTCCTGTCTCACTGAGAAGCAGATGTGAGGTTATATCCCACTGCTATTTCCCTCCCTTTGTATAACAGCTTTCTCATTCCACGTTCTCATCTGGTGTACTCTGTTTTTAGTAATTGGTGACAAACAGATATATATATATATATAATATATAAGCACAATCACCCACATTTTCCTCTATCAGAAAAAAAGTGTTACAGGCATGCCAGAAGTAAACAAGACCAAAGTGCCTTGTAAATAGTTAATGTGTCCACTGACGAGCAGAGCAGATCAGACACAGAACCATTTCCCAGCTGCAGAACCTCCCAAGCCGAGCTGCACGTTTTAGTCCGGTCAAAAAATGGGTTTGGTAACAATAACAATCTTTCAATTAACTGGAGTCTGTCGTAACAGGATTTAATCCAAACAGATGGAATATTTCCACTTTATATCACCTGATATGGAAAGGTGACTGAATGGAGGGCTAACCCGCACACTGCCATTTCTCCCTGCTCAATTATTAATTTACAAATGCTAATCTTACCCACTCACCCCCCTGGCCCACCCCGGTCCCTTTGTCCCGTGGTGAGAGGGCATTAAGCACCTCGAAACGTAAATTATTCAAATTTTATTCATTCTCGCTGTTATAAATTTTTGATACGCATAGCAAATAAAAGGACGTCTGTGAAAGTCAACCTTCAAGGCCTATCCCTGAAATGTTAGCTATTAACGCTAACAGCGAGCGGCTGTGACGGGGGGGGGGTGGGAATAAGCCGACGCTGACAGACGCCACGCCAGAGAAGGCGATAAGCACACGGGGTGGGGGGGGGGCGGCCGGCGCGGCTCTTCGGTGACCCTCAGTTTGAGCCGGTAATCAGGCACACTGCAGGGTTAAATCCGGCAGAGATTTCTCTTGCTATCGCGGGAGAGCAGGTTCACAGTTACGTAACCGTGATGACTGGGCACTCTCGCGCGGCGACCTCGAGTGTCTCTGGAGGTTCACAAGAGCGTGACGCAACACCCAGATTAGAGGTATTAAAAGACTAATTGTACTTGGCAGCAGTGCATGCATAGTGCTCGTACCCCTACCAAAGATGGCTGCAGTGCCAACTAATCGCCCCTCAGCATCCCCCCCCGCCACCTAACATACACCCATGACCAACAAACATCAATCCAGGGTTTATCTCGCAAGGCGCGCACACACACAGATTCCGAGACTATAAATGTTCATTAAGATAGAAGGACAACACTGGCTGTTGTAGCACCCATTCGATTTATTATGACTGGCGGTAATTAACCTTACGGCCAAACGAAGGTCACGACCCTGAGGTAAGCAGCCATTAGTCGTGCAAGCCAAGCTCGGTCTACTGATATCGATTTGAGTGAAATGTAAACACTCAGAGTCCTTTGATCCAAGAACAGGAACGGCGACCCAGGGAAGAAAAACAAAAAGGAAGTTTAGTACCAACAGGGTCGGCGCCGGGGTAAAGGCCACATTTCTCCCTCTGATTAAACCTCAGAGCGTTTCACATCTTGAAGTAGACGGCAGGGCGACTCGGAGGTCTGACACCCCTGGTCAGCTATTCATAAACCGCAGGCCGGCCAAGGCAGA